GATTCCCAACCATAAATCAGTTAAATGATTGAAAGAAGTAGGACTAAAGAACAAGTCCTCTTTTTGTATTCCTGTTTTGCCCTGTTAATCACCCATTTGCTCATCAGGGCTTGTCCCCAGCATTGACAGGCTGTCACCACAAGAGCAGAAACCTTCCACTAATTCTCAGATCTTGTGGAGACTGCCAGTTCCATGACGTACTTTCCTACAACTTCAGGATTTCCTCTCACCTTAGGCTAAAGGGTCAGACCATTAGTGAGTTTTTTCCAGCAATACTGTTGCTTACTGAAAGGATGTTTTGTCATACTTAAATCTCTCTCCCAAGTGAATTTCATACCCAATGAACTTCCTTGTTTCCATTTCAAAAAGCCCTATTCTGAAATTAATTCCAAATTACCTATGAAAACCCCCTAGTTTTCATATCCTTGTTTTCTCTGTATCTGTATTGCCGTCAGCGAGCAGGAAGGAAGGCAGTGTCACACTGAAGCAGACATCAGTGCTGTCAATGGAGGGACGTCCTCTGACAACAGTGTGACTTGACCTATAACCCAGGGTTCAAATACCATCTACTCATTTCCCATTAGACTGTACATCAAAAGTTTCAAATCTGTTTTCCACTTCTGCCACTCAGCAGCCCAGTGCTCTGCAACATCACTAGCTGGGTGGTTCTTCAAACACACAGCCTTCAAATATCAGTGTGCTGAATATTTTTCTTAAACTACAGTTTGTAGTTTATTTATAAAACCATTACATGAAAGAGCTCTAATGGAACAGAAAACTAAGTATTAGTGCCCTGGCTTTGAAACCTATTTTCAGACCTTTTGATACACACTTTTTTTATTTTTATATTTTTTTAAGGTTACTGATAGTAGGTACAGCTTCATTTTCTGATACTTGCCCACTATGTATATGAAGTTCAGTGAAAGATTCTCACCCTCAGTCTGGTCCCATTATGCTGGGTAAATGCATCAGAACAGCATAAAGGGCCCTTAAAAACCATAGGGAATATTCCCCTAGTGTGTGCACTGCGAAGACTTCCATAATACACCTGGTATAGGGGGTATACCAGGGTGGCAGAGGGAGGGGCACATAAGGAGTGGGGACACGTGATGATATAGTATAACACATATGCCAGCCTGCAATCCATAAGGCTTGAGAAGGCTGTTGTATCTTAGATGCCCCCAGCATAACTTAGGCAGGCCCTGGGTCTCTCCAGTTCTGGAAGAAGCCCAGGTTCAGAGGGTGCAAAGTGGCTTAACGCAGTCTTAGCCCTTCATTCCCTGGACTGAGTCCTGACTCAGAACCTCTCCCACAGAGCCTCATTCAGCTCACTTTTCGTGGTCTCAGACTGATAATTCCATTCATGGCAATGGACTTGCCTATGCTACCAGTATGAAAAGAGAAATGTGTTCTTGACTAAATTCAGAATCAAAGAGCTCATACTTTACATGTATCTGAAACAGGCACTCTAAAGTTTATTAACCCCAGAGAATACCTTGTATTTTAATGTCCTAGGTGCTTTAAGATATATAAAGTCAATGGGGGTTAATTGCATGTTTTGGCATGACTAGGACCTCCAGATTTTCAAATGCCTCCCCCCGACAATATAATCTTAAAGACAACTTTATGTAACTGCGTCTAAAAACATGTTTTTTTTTATTGCAGACAAATTATCTACGGGGCATCTTCAGAAGATGCCCTGTAGTTAATGGTCAGATTGTATGATCAATTCTCACACTACTTTATCCAGACCTGATGCTAACCATCAAATGAGCCTGGCTCCTGAACTCAGCACAACTCAGGATCAGGCCCCAAGTGATCTTTTGCATGAGGCAATCAGTCCTGTGATTGTTAGCAGTGGTGCTTGTGCAAAGTGCAATAAAAAAATTGTCCAGCATCAAAGTTTTTCCTCTGTGGTCAAGGCAAAGTTTAAAACCCCATACATATCTATACAAAACAATAGAGAAACCCAATATTCCTGCAAATATTCATGTATACTGTAAGAAAAGGAACTATCTTACTGGAACAGACCAGATAATCATCTAGTTTCATATTCTGAGTGGCTAGGATCAGACTTTAAAACCAGAAGTGATAGCCTAGTTTCACCACCTGCACAACACAGGCCATAGGAGTTTCCTGCTTCTAGTTTAGTAGGTGTGATTCAGGTAGGCACATCTTCAACATCGAGTCTTGATTTAAGAATTTTGAGTGATGGAGAATCCATCACAATCCTTTGCAAGTTGCTGCAATGGTTAATTACCCTTGGTGTTAAAATTCTGCACCTTATTTCCAGTCTAAAATGTCTGTCTAGCTTCAACTTCTAGCCACTGGACTATCTTCAAATGATCAGAAAATAGCCTTCATCAAATTTCTGTTCCCTATAAAGGTACTTATAGAGCGATCCTGTCACTCCCATAACTGTTTGCTAAGCTAAATAGACTCAAGGAGCTCACTCATGAGAGAGAGTATATCTTCCAATCCTTTAATCGTTCTCCTGGCTTTTCTTTGAATCCTCTAACTTTTGTATGAGATTACAAGATCTATTTCCCACAAATCCATGATGATTGACAGTAATTACATTACCCTTCTTTAAGAGTGTCACATGAATCATTCCATTTGTTTGCCTAGGACTGTCAGACTTGTGTTGTGTTGTTTACTTTCTCCAAACCACTTTGTCATTTTGCATTGTGATATCTATCATCCCCTAATCCTTTCAAACTCTCCTTGCGTGAAAGGTTTTTCATGCCTCTCCCAACTTTTCTCCTTTTCCATGCAATTCTCCTAGTTTTCTCAAAACATTTTTTGGAATCCAGCATGGAGGTCTGTGTATTTAAAAAACAAACAAAAAAACCTCATTTCCTTCTCCAATTTAATAATTGCAAGTTTTGTAATTAGTTTCTGCATCAAAGCTGGGTAATAACTACAATAACCTCCTCCTTACCAACACCCCACACTACATGCTTTAGTGTCAGTATCCTGTCTTCTGACTCCAGCACAGGTATAGAGGGACTATGTACTTTGTTTATAGAGCCAACTAAAATACCTGCTTTTACTCTGTCCTCTCATTTCTCCCCTCCCTGCCCCCCCTTAAGGTGTCATGGACACACTGACTAGCTCATCAGAAGTTGCTATCCAATCAGTAAGTCTCACTTCCTTACAGAGCATAAGAATGCAGTCTCCAAAGCACTCTTGGCTTTTAAAAGTATTTCCCTCTTTATACTACTACTTCCTCTTGCTTTTTTTTAAATGCAAATTTAAACGTCCATTTAAACAGAATCTTAAAGTTAGGAAAGAGAACATTCTACAAGGCTGGGAAATATTTCCATGCAGTATAATGTGGCTGGTCACACACAACAAGTTGTTTCTGAATACTGCTGCTCTTTATGCAAAAGAACTCTCACTTTATTCCTCATTTTTGGCTCAATATCCGCCACCTTTGTATACTCAACACTCCGTGGCAGCCTGCATGCAATTTCTTTCATGATTTAGATTCCCTGGCAATTGCTCAAATTGCTTGGATAAAAAAAGATCCATGGTGTAGCAGTTCCCACCTACTGGGAACCAACCCTTATTGCCTTACATGGGCTAAAAAAACCACCCACATTTCCCCACTTTCCAAGTGGGGTGTGAGGAAGTTCAACCTCCGTGGCTCACTGCTGCTGTAATTGGACAGGGCATCCAAGATGGCACTTTGTTTGGTAGGTCAGCTGTGTACACTGAGCAAGGTCCCTCAGAACTGGGCAATTCTATGATGAACCATATGTGGTTAATTTAAATAGTCTCTTGTAAAAATTTTGTTTAATACTTTTGGTCCCCTCTGGCCTTGGAATCTATTGCTATAGCAGATGAAACACTTGCTAATTCCAGCAGTATTTCAGGTTGCAAAGCACACAACCAAGAGGTGCTACTGAATTCAAGTAATAAAAGGGTTATTCTATTCCAATAAACTTAGTTAAGCCTTCCCCATTAAGATGTTCTAGTCCATATTTTATAGTTAGTTCTCCTTAATGCAGAAAACTGATTTGCTTTAATTTCAGAAAGGCTGTTCCTACAAAAACACACATGAACTAGATTAGAGATCAAACCTGGCAATATTGCAGCTGAAAAATAAATGCAGTTATACGTGACTGTCACTAGAGGACACTATTTATTTCTCATATCATAAGGCAAACTGAATTAGAAATACAGCTCACAAAGGAAAGATCAGCTGTGTGAAACAAACTATATACTAACCAAAAACAGTAGGCTTGTGGTCTTTCCACACTGGGAATCTTAGTCATGTCATTAACATTTAAAATGTTAATGACATGACTTCAATTGAAGTACTGTTGCTTATGAGAGGTACCATAACAGCATTCAGATCTTCTATTTACAAACAAGAGATGAGCAGCAAGCGTGGGGGTAGTGGCAGAACTCTGTTCTGGAGCATTAGCATGACTAAGAAAGTAGCTTAGTCTCTAGAATTGTTCATTAGCGCTATTTTTGACAGTTTAACTTTCCTTCCTGTGATACGGCCATTTGTCCATAATACTTTGGCCTGAGATCTGTAACTCACTTTGCACAAACAGAATAGTCACCACATGACAGTGAGCTACAGACACTTCCAATCAGGATGATTTTTAAAACCAATGACCTGGAAGTGGAAAGGCTCCATAACTCCCTGTATACCAGAAATTGACATACGTTTTTTTTATTGTGGAATCCCTCTTGCATAAAGCTTTTTGAGAGACAATTCTAATATAAATGGAACATTTATATTAGCAGTGTGTTAAGCACTCAAATGTCAGACTGAACTGTCCTAGTGGAAATACTAGGTAAGTATCACTTTGACTTTTTTCTTCAGTTGTACAGTCTCCCGACTAGAACTTTAGCCTTTCATATAAGATTCTACAGGAACAGTTTCAGACTTCTGTCCTTTCAAACTTCATGTTTTTAAAATGTTCCTCAAGCATGTCAGGATTCTTCTCATCCATGCCATCTAAGTCAATGTCAAAATCCAGTTCATCACTTTCCTCTGACTCCTCTCTTCTACTGATCCTTCTTTGGCAATTTCCAGTAGTCTCATTCTCCATCTTCTCTGGTCCTTTACTGATCCTAAAAAGAAACATACAAGTATTATTTGCCAGGCTTTCAGGATCTAATTATTAAACTGGGAATGGAGCAGGGGGAACTTTTATTTTAAAAACAAACAACTCTACTTCTGCTGAATGGAAAAACTAATGAAATAGTAGAGAGAGACATCCCTGAAGAGAATCCATGAATAGTTCAACATATCAAACTGTTGCTGGCCATAAGCCACATACCAGCAAATTAATGCATGATGCTCAGTAAAGAGAAACTGCTGGCACAAGAGCAATAAAAACACTAAATAGCATAGTTGCTATGCTCTACAGCAACCCTTGTTTGGTTTCTTTTTTCTGCTTAATGTAATTCTGAATAATCAGATGACAAATTAAATTCAAACAGTAAATTAACTCGTGCATATTTTATGGTACTTAACTTCTTAATCCATTTTAGAGGGCTTCATTCCAAAGTAGATGCAATTTACCCTTTGCAACTAAAATAGTCTTATTGGGTCTGATCTCATTCCCGCCAACGACAATGGGAGTTTCACCCCTGATTTTCTGTAGGACTGAGGTTGCTGTCTTCTACTGAATCCCGTCACGGTTACTTAAAGTGCATACTAACATTGGAAATTTCAAACGTGTTTTGCTAAGAGAATGCATGAGCTACAACTAGGGCAGGTAATCAAACTTTCAGAGCAGTACTTACGGAACTACAATTTCTTCTCTCTTTCCACATTTAGCACATACTTCTAATTCACAAGCACAAGATCTACAAATAATATGGTAAGAATCCTTTACAGTCTTTTGGAGGCACTTCACACTATTAAGAAGGAAAACAATATTAGAGTGATTGTGGCTAGTTAGCAAATTGGAATGTTCAACTAATTCTTGAAACAACTAGACTTATTATTGGAAAGTTTTATAGACACCCCCTCCCTCCCAAAGTGGGAGAAGACTACTTTCTGTAATAATAAAGTCCTATGTATATGCCAATCTCATATGAAATATTACTTAATGTTAAAGAAATGTTAACAAATTGACTGTACTATCCTATTTCTTTTCTCCTTTAACTTATGTCCGTTTTGGAAAATTAGAACAAAAGAGGGAAGAATTTTTTTTAATGATCAAAATGATAGAACACAGATCTGTCTCCACTTATTTGAGCAGGCTGTTTGGTTCACTAACACTGCCTATTTCTTTAAAAGCTGTACAACTTTTCCTATTTCTTTGGCTCAGACAAGAGTAGTCCAAGCAGAATATAGTACTAAGACATATGTGCAATTTATAAATGCAAACTACAGATGCAGAGAAAATACATTATATACCTTTGCATTTCTCAATGTACAAAAGATAACTTGAGTCGAAACCCACAAGAAGCAGTGTACTATTCCAAACATTTAGAGGCTTTGGTTGCTATTGTCAAAATAAAAATGATAGAGGACCTCTGGCCTGAAGGTTAAACTGCCTTAAAATTTGAATGACTCAAACATTCATGATATATCAAAGGTCTTCTCTTTGGACAAAAACCGAGAAGATATTTCTGATGTAATCTAGTCAGACCCAAAACACCAGCCTGAAAGCCAGCCCTTCTCAACCCTGAAGCACTCCAAGGATTCAAGCACACAGCTGCTTTCGCAGTGGGTCTTGCAGAGGAAGCAAAAGAGGCTGGATACCAAGTCATCAGATACTCTTCGAGTTCTTGGAAGGACCAGGTGGGCTAGTAATTAACATCTTATTGGGGCAAGAGGACTACTTTTTTTAAACCACAACTTTCAGTCACAATCTGTTGCGCTAGTTTCAAAGATTGAGGGGGGGGGGAAAGGATTAAAAAGAAGACTAAGCAAAACTAACCATTTTAACTTAAACACCAATAAGCTTTCCTTAAAGACTAGTGCTATTATCAACCTGAGGAAAGGCTGGTGAAAAGAGGACCGAGGAAGTGGACACTAGAGCACAGGTGTGGTGCTTAGGGCAAAGATCTTTAGCATCCACACTCATAGGAGCCCTGAGAATAGTTGGGGCTTTCAGACCCAGGGTCCAAGGACTTGAGCTAACCCTGGGCTTACATTTCAGTGTAGACATACCCTTTAATACCTTACATTGCAGGGCACCAGATCTCATGGAGCGTGAATGTACAGTACCACAGGATAAACTGCTCTAAAATCTTCTGTGGTAACGTTCTGGAAGAGGATATGTAAAGCTCAGCCTGTAGCAGCAAGGTTTCTAAGGTGTACTCACTCAGACCCTGCAAAGTTTCCAGCCAAAGACATGTCATTCATGCAAAAAGGTTCAAGGAGAACATAAAGTACGTAATTTGTGCACTTTTACAGTATTCAGTACTATCTGGTTTCTACCACAACTCGCTTCCTTGGGCTCCAATCTGTCTCCCCTTACTGTAGACTACACTGTGCTTCAAAGATAGTGATTCATGGATGTCCGACTCCTCAGAACATTGAAGTGCACAGGAATCATGGTAGGATAAATCTCTGAGAATATAAGCCCTTCACGTACTGTCACGGAGCGCTTTAGTTTCAGTAACTAGCATGATTAAATGTAATGTTAAAAAATGGATCTGATCTGAACTCAAATTAAAACTTCCATTTTTTTCATGAAAATGTCACTTTTTGACCAAGCTGGCTATTTTCATTTAAAAATTAGTCATAGCACTGAATATTCCTTTACAAAATGAAAATAAATTTAAAATTCAACTTCCCCTGAAGCCAGGAAAGCCATAAGAAAGCTTTGGGAACTAATAATGTGATTCAAGTGTCAAGAGCAACCCCTACTGGGATACTTTTAGGTTTGCAAGGGGAGCTGCTCTCACTGACTCAATTCAGTAACAAAGCAAGTAGAAGGTCAACTGAAATAGTCTTCACTGAATCCTGAACTGGCTCTTCAGAGTATGCCTACCCCTGATGAGGGCAGAAGTGGAATATGTCCACTACTTGCCTTCCATTCAGATTTATCAGTAGCCAGATTTAGACAGAAGGTGCAACAGGCCTTTTCTCTTTTGGCCATGAGGACTGCATATCCCATCCCTGTTAAAAGAGCTCAGTTTTTCTAGGAGTGGACCTTATGGAACTAGCCACAGAATAAATCTTATGACTTAATTTTCAAGATTTTTTAAATACTTTTGTCATTACACAAACTCTCAACACCTTCAGCCCATTATGCTTCATGTTGTCAGTGAGTGACCTCTGTCCACCTATACTCCCTGAGTTAGCCTGGCCCCCTTGATAAGGGATTTTAGAGGGATTAGGGATAAAAGGATGGCAGGCTAGAGCCTTGTAGGAAGCTCTCAATATTGCCTACCAGGCTGCTTGACCAACAGCACCCCAAACAGACCACACTATAAACTGCAAGCAAGCACACAACAAACCAAACAAATATTTGTGGGAATATTTTCTTTGGTTTCCATTTGCATGGTTTCCAAACTACAGTAGAACCTCAGTTATGAACAGCTTGGGAATGGAAGTTGTTCATAACTCTGAACAAAACATTATGGTTTTTTTCCCAAAAGTTTATAACTGAACATCAACTTAATACAGCTTTGAAACTACTATGCAGAAGAAAAATGCTGCTAACCATATTAAATTATAAAAGCACAGAAACCATTTCCTTACCTTGTCAAATTTTTTTTTAAACTTACTCTTTTTTAAAGTGGTTTAACAGTACTGTACTGCATTTGTGCTTTTTCGGGGAGGGGGGGAAGTCTCTGATGCCTGATCGCCTATTTCTGGTTCCAAGTGAGATGTGTGGCTGACCAGTCAGTTTGTAACTCTGGTGTTTAATTTGGAGGTTCTACTGTACCTCAGATGACACTCTGCATTTTTTTTATTTGAAATGCTGCTTCAAAATTAAGCAATCCTAAATCTCATGTGGCTTTGAAACTATGGCTCAAATCAGGAACTATCAACTTAGCAAAGATGAAGAACCTGGTCTGAGTTTCAAGTCTGGAATGGAACCATGTAAGCTTCATGGGATGTTGCTTACATTTTATAAATGTCTTCTGCATCCAGTTTCTGGCAAGCATCAGTGAGTTATGACTGATGGAATGTCACATAACACTAGATCACTTAATAATTTCCAGCAGCCAAGATAGCATGAACAAGATGGAAAAGCTGTACAAAAAAATCTGTCCAGTCAAGTTGCTGTTTAAAATAAAAAGCGGTTTCGGAATACTAAATTATTTTGAGAAATTTAGAGATTAATTAGCACCTTAATAGCCCTTTAAAACCTAGACCTCTCCCTCTTTACCACTTATGGCCTGAAAGGTGATCTTTTCTTCACCTCACAGAACAGAGCTGGTGCTAATCCACTGGGGGCCCTAAGCAAGAATATTTAAGTCTTTTGAGATACATTTAGGAATTTTCTAAAAGTAAAGTTAAACTCTGAAGGCAAACTGACCTTCTCTGTTTTTGTTTGCTTTCCCAAATTGATCAAACATACCACACACCCATAGTAACCCATGAAGTAGCCCTTGTTACTCAAGTTACTGTGAAGCAATTGATATTTTTCACTCTGGTTTTAGTATTTGGAGCTCTAGGAGGACACTATTCATAATTCTGAAATCTACAAGTAACATCCACAATAAATTAAATGGTACAAGTTGCCAAAATCTGCAATGAAGTCAATACCTTCAGCAGACATATGGGAACTGCAAAATCAGCAAGTGTATGTGTGTACTTTTTTTACAGAGTAATGTTTTTCAACAACTTAAGTGTAGAACCGTGTACACCAGTATATAATTAATTGTATGAAGTAGTTGCAACTGAAGATGGTAATCTCCAGATGAGACTGGGTTAAATCTGAATTTTTCATAATTCCTTCATAACTAGATTTCTAAATACTAATCACTATTTAAATTTAAAGTTGAGTTTATACTGTTGTTGCAAAGTATAAATACAAGATTCCAGACATTTCCGTGGTTGACCCTGAAAGGCACAATAGGCAATCATTTCTATCAAAAGTATCACCTCATGCTCCTTTCTTCTCCGCTTCCCCCCAGTTACTGAAATCTTAAATGTTCCCCCACAGTAACACAAAACAGTGCAACTCCACCAAAAATATTTTTAAAACATTCCTTTATTTTTTTTAAATCTGTTTAATGTGACCGCACATCAGTAAGCATTCTATTACCTAAAATTACATATTTTGGCCTGATCCTGCAATTAGATCTGCATAGGCTGAGCTCTGCACCCTCACTGAGCTCCAGTGATGTCCATTTATAAGGAGCAGTTTGTATTAGTGGCGGCCTTTATTTGTATATGTTGAGACTAAGGAAGATTTGATAACTGCCAGAATCATCTATTCTATCTCAGCTACTGAAGAGAATTTTTTAAAGTAAAATTGATTTGATTTAATGGTCTTCCATCTCCATGAATGACAAGAAAAATCTACTGATGAAAACTATCACCTGCATGGAGGCCATTCATATTTTATACAATATATTCCTATGAAACAAAACACTTTATTTTGAAGCCCAATTACAGACAAGGAAGTTCTGCCTGCATTAAAAAAAGTATAATTAAGCCCTAAAAGGGTTTCTTTAGGCCCCTGTCTAATAGCTCTGTTAGATGCCTATTCAGTTATTCGTTTGGTGATACTGAATGAGGTTTGACAGGCTCCAAGATTGAAACATAAATTCACCTGGTTAAAAATTCCACCCCTTTTCCCCCTCCCAGTCAATCTTGTGTACTGTAAAAATAGAGAAATTTCCCTGTCTGACTGACTTTGCAATCTTGGGACAATCATTTGTTTCTGTGCCTCAGGTTTGTCTATTTAGAGGATTATGATAATTAGGTTCCTCACAAGCACTGTGATGCATAAGGATGTTTAGGTATTTTAATGAAAGGTGCTATATATGTAGTGGGGGAAAAAACATCAAAAAACCCCAATGGTTTGCATTTAAGAGAACAACAGTTTTTAATAAAGTAAATCCAACATTGTAAGCTTTGTTGGAACTTCAGCCTACTGAATTTAGAACTCAATACAATAGGGATTACACCTTTTCTACACATCAAAATGAAATTTCCAAAAATGGTAATACACACCCCAAAAGAGGTTCACAAATTATACAGTGATTAGCTGTGAAGTAATTGTTGACTCACCATTTCTTCGGTTTTGATAGTGGTTTGTATTTGCTGAATTTTACACGCCACTCCAAGACCTCCTTACAGTGCTGACACACTCCATCATGAAGCTTTGCATTGATTTTCTTTATAAAAAAAAAAAGGGTGCTTGAAGTGTCATCTTTTATAAATCAACCAATTAGCAACTATTCATCAGTTTAGTTTAAAAAAAAAAAGACGCACTTCTTATGAAGTAATTCCATGATCTTTTGATATCCTGCAGCTAGAGTACTGGGGGAAAGATGTATTCTAATGGCAGTGCAAGAACAATGAGTTCATCTGTTTCTCTACCTGTTCTTATGTTAGTAATAAAGATACTGAACACTTCCAAGCATTCCTAAAAATCCGTACAAAGTAAGCGTTGCCAGACTACATCCATTCAAAGAGTGAAATGCATGTTTGTTTAGTACAGAAATGGATTTTGAGACAGCAGCTTTGCTCACTGAAGACGGGTTACAAGTTTAATACCTATAATTTACAATATATTGGGCTTTAGCAATGATGATGTATATTAAGTGGGTAGCCTTGGACTTTTCTAAAAGCACAGAGGAAATGGAAGTGCCACATCTTATACCATGAGAAGGACACCTATGTCTTCCATACCATGAACTAAGTTCCTTCTGCTTTCCCTCAACTTCTTTTTAAAGAAAGAGAAAATATGATCAGTTGAACTAGAGAAGTGTTTCCATGATGAGGGAAAGCTTAGTATAAGTACATTTTCGCCCCCCCCCCCCCGCCCCCAAAAGTCCTCCTATTCACTGAATTAGATGAGAATACAGTACACATGAGAAAAATCTCTAGTTGCACTAGAAACTAGTTATCCAGGGAATAGGGAACCTTGGCTTCCTTAAACAACCCTCCTTTCTTCGGGCATAGCTACACTTGCAGATGTACAGCGCTTTGAGTTAAACCAGCCTTCGTAGAGCACAGTAGGGAAAGCGCTGTAGTCTGTCCACACTGATGGTGTGGCGACATTAGCAGCTCTTGCAACCGCCTCAGAGAGCTGCGCATTGTGTCTGCAACGTGCTTTTCAAATGGGTGGAGTATGACAGGGAGTGTGTTGTGTGTATGTGGGGGGAAAGGGGTTTTTTGGGGGGCTGAGAGCATGTCTGCATGCTGTCTTGTAAGTTCAGACAGCAGCAGACCTCCTCTTTCCCCCCCCCCCCAAGCATTTCACAGTAATGGTTGCTTTGTCTCAGAGAAGCATGCTAGCTGTCAAACAGAGCTTTCAAAGGGCATATCCAAAACAATGACAATCTTCCATACCTACCTACTTAAGATAGATGTAATTTGTTAAGAGTGCAAAAAAGTAGTTTCCTTAGTATAGGTTCTTAAATCTTTTAATAAGCCTCAGGCTGAGTGCATGTCCATTTTATCTACTGAATCTTCAAACTTTCAGGAATACCAACTCTAATTTCTCTGACCACCTTAGCCATTTTTATTCTACCTGAATACAAGAAGCTTGCGTTCCTTCCCACCTGATTTAAGCCCAATCAATTTACGTAGCAGTTTAGAATATTTTTGCAAATATTCTACACTATAACAACCCCTACCTCTTTAGTGACCATTTTCCCCACAGTCCTACAGACAAGTTGAGAAATAAGACTGACCGCTATTTCCCGTCGACCTTCTGTTGCAAATGACAAAAACTGGAGAGTAGATTTTTGGGGAGGAGTATTCTATTACTACTCATATCTCCTCTGATGGGTACAATCCTTGGCTCCCCCCCCACATCACAGATGTGACCTAGAGACCCTACCCTTACCTTCATCATCTCCTCTTTTGCCTGAGGCCTTATTTACTTTGGGAAATTTGTGCACATGGTGATTGTTTTGGACTGGGACAGCTCCACCAGCAGTAAAAGTAAAGGAAACAAATGTAGACAAGAAGCTAATGCTTTTAGTCACCATGACATCTAATCCTACTCTGCACCACTGAAGAATATCTATTGCTACTCATGCCCCCTCAAAACACAACAAAAAAACCACCCTAAGTTTTCCAGGGTGGAGGCTCCCTGAAAGTTGTCTTAGAATCCCTCTGGTAATCAGCCATACAGACCTTTTCAAGGAAAACCTATCATTAGTGGGAGGGGAAGCTACCAAGCTACTGAAGCTTCACAAGTACTTTGCAGCTGCATAAAAGAGGTTGCTTTTCTTGCTGGTACAGAAAAAAACAAAAAGGGAAAGGATTCTTATTTAAACTTAAAATTTAAATAAAAGTATCTGACCAAAGGGGACTTATCTACCAGATGTGGGATTAAGGAGAGAAATCAAATCTGGGCCAGCAAGTTCTTTTCCCACCTTTGTTCCTTGAAGAGCTTCTAGTACCTACCCCCTTTATTAAAAAAACCCAAAAACCTGTCACCATGTTTTACTGGCATCACAAGTTGTACAAAGCATTTTCTTTGTCAAGAATACTTATTCTTATTTATTTTTTTAATTTATTAAACAGAACATATGAGGTTTGACTTCTAGGAGTCATTAAGAAAGGTAATGCTTCTTCCAATTGCTATGAACTGGCGATGGAATACGTACTTCTAGTTGGACAAGACCCCCACCCCCTGCTTTTTTTTTAAACTAGGTTTAGAGTAGAGCCAAAAGTTAAAAAGAAACCAAACCTGGAAAGCCAGAACTGCTTCAGAAAACAAAATGGAGGATCATTAATAATTATAGCCATTTCAGACATCCAAATATTATCTGATCACAGCAATGAATCCTGTGAGAATTCATCTACAAAACGTACAATAGTTGGATTTAAGATGTGTGAAGTAACTAAGCCTAAAAATCTCACAGTAAAATAAGGAAAAAAGCAGTGATATTAACAGATTTTTTGGCATACTTTCTACGGGTATAACTAATTACAAAGAGGCATAGTACAAGACATTAAAAAAACAGCATAACTGATGAGTGTTGACTGCATCAATAGAGATGCTTACATAAAAGTGTAGTAAAAAATTAGATCAATAAGTGCAAATACTTTTTTCAGTATAAAAAACCACTAGCATTTTCATTTGCAAGTGTTAAAACAATCTTAACTGGAGCAAAGTGTGTGTGTGTGTGTGTGTGTGTGTGTGGTGTGGTGGGTTTTTTGGGGGGGCGGGGGGACTATAAAAAAGTGTGTTAGAGAGATTCTGCAGACTAAAAATTACTCAAATTGTCTGAATAGATCTCTTAGTGTTGAGAGATGTTTAAAAATCTGAAGTGGCCTACTAGTACACATCAAGAAGATTTACTAATTAATAACAAAACTAATTGTAGTCTTAAAGGAAAACTGCAGTAATTAGTTACACTACATATAAACAAGCATGTATTTTTTACTATAATAAATACACATTCAAAAACTAAGGCTGGGATTTCCAAAGGAGCTTAAGGCAATTACATGTCCAAACTTTTTTTTTTTTTTTTAAATCGGTTCCTTTGAAAATACTAGCTCACCTTTAAAAAATAACTGTTTCTATCTATTTTAAAGTTTTATACTGTCAACCATCTCCATAGTATCTAAGCATCTTCTCCATTTGGTCAACCGCAATAGTGAAGTTGCTAATGGGCTTCATGGATCCTGTGGCTCGCCCACCTTTTGGTGGGCCTGTGTGTGAAAAATTCTGCTTGGGATACGAGTTTTTGTTGCGCTGGTTGTTTGATTCCCCACCACCCAAAAAACCCCAGAAACTCTGCAATAAAAACAATGTTACAAGTACCATACTTGTTTGGAAAGGCTGCTTGCTTCTTTTTGTTTTTGTTTTTAAAGACTCATTTGCAGAGCCCTTAGATTTGAATCCTCAATTCCAAAGAGAGGAATTCCAAAGAGGAGTGTGCTGCTGTCTGAACTTACAAGACAGCATGCTGACATGCTCTCATCCCCCCAAAACCCCACTCTCCCCCCACAAACACACAACACACTCCCTGTCACACTCCACCCCACCCCATTTGAAAAGTATGTTGCAGTCACTTGCATGCTGGGATAGCTGCCCATAATGCACCACTCCCAATGCCACTGCAACTGCTGCAAATGTAGCCACGCCAGTGCGCAAGCAGCTGTCAGTGTGGACAGACTGCAGTGCTTTCCCTACTGTGCTCTCCAAAGGTGGGTTTAACTCACAGTGCTCTACATCTGCAAGTGCAGCCATGCCCTGAGAAACATTTTTGTTTCCCTTGGCTTCAGGCAGCCTCAGACACAAACTTTCAACCCTGATATCGAACTATTCTCAGTCTTCAGTGCTGATTCCTTCCTAAATTGCTACCTCTAAACCTCTTAAAAGTGGGACTTGGAGTAGTGGCGGCAACGCCACTTCCTCTACTTTTCAATTTTAATTTTTTTTATTTTTTATTTTTTTAGGAAAAACTTTTCTGTGCCAAGTCCAAAGCTCCTTGACTTCCCAGACCATGCTCCTCCTACCACCTGCAAACAAAACAAAAACCTCTCAGAACTGGATTTTAACATGCTCCAAAGCAGGACTTAAAGGGACTGGAGCCACTCCAACTCCACCATGGAAGCTTTAAGTTTCTTCAGTCTTCACAGACTGGAGGTTACTTGTGATCCTTGCAGGCCCAAGTGGTGAACTTCAGGCAGATTGAACATCTGTTAAGTAAATGCTCCTCACTAATGCATCAAAGACATTATGTATAGTATACCCTTAGACATTTGTCTCGCATGAAGGACATTCTTAAACCCAGTCTTTCCCCCAGGATCTGCCATTACAGCTGAAAAAAATATCATGGAGTTAGAAGGGACTGTTCAGAAACACTTAAATACTGCAGGCTTTAATTATCATTATGCAAATAACTACTGCAGCATAAAATGATTGGAGAATGGACATATCTAAGCAATTCATCTAGTTGTCGTGTTTGATGAACAAAAAGCTTTTCAGACCTGATCCTGCTCAACTTATGTCAACAGCAGTTTCACCATTCTCTTTAATACAACTGCAACTAACCCTTATTTTCTTAACATGGAATATATTTGTATTTAAGTATATAGTCTATACAATGACTTTTAAAATCTAGATTTCTGAAGAAGCAGTTTATCTATCTTCATTCTACAATTACTTAACTTTCCACCTTAGTACAGGTAAACATAAAAACTTGGT